CCCCCCCCCCCCCGCAGGTTCCTCTTTGACTTCTACCACTATTTCTACATGCTGACCAACGCCCTCTTCTACATCAGTTCGGCCATCAACCCCATCCTCTACAACCTGGTCTCTGCCAACTTCCGCCAGGTCTTCCTGTCCACGCTGGCCTGCCTGTGTCCCGGTTGGCGGCGCCGAAAGAAGAGGCCAACGTTCTCCAGGAAGCCGAACAGCATGTCCAGCAACCATGCCTTCTCTACCAGCGCCACGCGGGAGACCATGTACTAGGCCCTGAGGAGGTCGGGAGGGAGCCTCAGCTTGTGGGCCTCCCAGGCCTTCGCGGGGTTCACCAGTCTAAACCATGCCGGTGAGGCTGGGGCTCCCTCCACCTGGAGGCTTCTTTCTTTACACTTTCCCTTTCCTTTCTTCCTCTGCTCCCCTCCTCCCCGGTCCTCTATTCCTGCTCTCTGTCCCTCTCCTACCTCTGATTTAAAAACAACAGAGGCCGTTTCTCTCTCTGACCCTCCAAAGGTCTCTAACAAGAAGAAACTAGCACTCACCAAGGACAGCCTCCTTTGTTGCCAGACTAATGGATGCTAAGAAAGAAGAAATGAAAGCAACGCATTGGGACCCGGCTCTTGGGTAGACAGGACACTCTAATCATAACATTGTAGCTGCACCAGCTGGGCCAGACACCCACTGAAGCTGGACTTGGGCTCAAAGTCCACGGGCATAGGCTCCATCTCAGCTTCCTATGCCTCTGCTCCTGCCCTGGTCCTGCAGGTCCCGTGACTCTCTTCGAGTCTCATGTCCAGACCCTTCCTGGGCAGCTGAAAGCTGAAAGGACCCACGCCTCTGTCTCCACCCTGGGCAGCTATGGCCCACTAAAGAGACCAAGTTCTCACATGCTCAGAAAGGACAAAAGGCTGACCTGGACTCATACAGACCTGGACTCCCTCTTCTTTAGGCCCATTCTCACCCAGGACAATCTTCACGTGACCTTGCAGGGATATCTGCACTGGGGCCTTGACCTTTTGGATCTGCAGAGGGCTGGCAGATAAGAGGGGCCCAGCCTCCCCTGTCCAGGTGATTTTGTTGGGGAGATACATAGTCCTGTGTCTCTTAGACAGCTGTGTAGATTAGGGTCTGGCAGCTGCTGGCTTCAGGACAGGACTCCTGAGAAGGGCACTGAGCCAGGTCCTCAGCAAGTTGCCAGTGTCTGAGACTTTGCAGGTAAGGAGAGGCCAGTGCCCCAGCATCCAGCTGGCCAGCAGCCCCCGGACTGAGACATATGCCAATTTGTTACCAGCTGCCAAGCAGCCGCCCTGGCCCAGGTTCTGGGCGCCCGGAAAAGCAGGCACCCTTCATCTCTGGGAGCTGTCTCCAAATAAGACAGAACCATCGAGCCTCCGGCCAAGAAAGTTGGCTGAGCGCTTGGAGACAGTCCCAGGATGCCCTGGACCAGCAAGGGAGGAGTAGCAGGAGGGCCAGAGAACTAAGCTCAGCCTTTTGCAAAAAGAATCTTGGACCTCACTGTCCCAAAGAGAAATTATCAAATGGGCAGTTGGCCGGTGAGAACAGTACTGCCTTGGATCATGACCCGGGGCTAGCCTTCACTCCCTCTGGGCTATAAAACAACAGGTTGAATATTGGGGTGTCTGTGATCACCCAGATATAGCCACTGTGGTACCTGAACACCACAAAACACCACTGCCAATTAAATGACCCTTTAGGTCATCAAAGGCAGGGCCTGGCTGACACCAGAAAGATGTAATCAGCCCAGAGGGGTTCTCTCCATCCAAGAACTGTCTACATGGGAGCCCTCGCAGCCGGTGAGTGGGTCACAAGCCAGTGCTTCTTCATGAGGATATGGATGTATACCCCGACCAGGCAGTCCAGCCCCAAGCCCCCGTCCTGGGTTCCCAGACCTTGGGCAAGCCTTTTTTCTGAGCCTCAATTTTCTCATCTCAGCTGACTGAGACTGTCTTGAAGGACCCAGCCTAGACTAAACAGAAGTGAGAAGCCCCCAGGCTGGGTAGAGCCAATGCCCTATTATACAACCTCCCAGAAGTGCTGTGGCTGTTACCAGAAGTCCTTGTTGTGGTCTTTAGCCTCTTGTCTGTGTGCTTGATGTAGTTAGGGACATATGTCCATGCCCCACCAGACGCACCTATGACCTCGGCTTGGTATTCTCAGCTCTGGGCCAAGTCAGGACGGAAATAGCTCTGGAGGCTGACCTTAGTGTCCTGGGTCACAAGTCCAGAGTCTCATGAGCCCAGTTAGTGATGTAGACACAGGTCATGTGCCCTCAAACATCCACCAGAATACCCCCACCCCACCCCCACTGCAGTCAAGGAACACTCTCCCCCATGTGTCCCCCATAAAGAATAAAGGAAACTGTGGACACCCAGTTTGGGCCTTGTGTATGCTTCCATTCACACACCCATCCGTTCATTGAGGCGGGCAGAGCTGATGCAATGTATGGGCCTTTTCTGCCTCTTATAAGCTATGGGTGGGGTCGTATCTCCTAAAAACTGAAAAGGTCCTGGCCACTTCCATGACCACCTTCCCAAAGACTTAAAAGTCCCCCTCACACACCTGCTGCCCGACCACCTTCCTGCCCACCTTCCTGGAGAGTTAAAAGCCCCCTGACACTTTACACCTGTTCTCAGCAGACATAGCTCCACAGACAGCTGAATGGTGGCTGCTTTTGAACTCTGGTTAAACTTTAAAAAAATAAAATATTGGAATTTTAGACAATATAATTTTCCTCCGAGTTGAGACGTCTCCATCCAGAATGAGGGAAGATGAGCAATGCCTCCGGCTTTCACTCAAATGTCAAGTGGCCCAAGCTGAGCAGATCTGCACTCAGAAGAGATGACAGCGTGAGGACGGCGATGATGTCGACCGTGAACACTTTCCAGTCCTCTCAGAAAAGGAGACTCATCTAAGCCAACGGGACCTCAGAAGCCGCCAGCCTCCTGCCTGCGGAGCTACTCCCCATCCACCTGGCTCTTTGGACCCTCTATACTGCCTGCCTGGATTCTCTCGGCCTTGGGATTACAATCTGTTCTACTTGGTTTACTATTGCTGCGATGAAACACCACGACCAAAGGCAACTTGGGGAGAAAGGGGTTTTCACTCACAGTTCCGTATAACGATTCATCATCAAAAGCAGTCAGGGCAGGAACTCACGCAGTACAAGAACCTGGGGGTGGGAGCTGAGGCAGAGGCTATGGAGGGGTGCTGCTTACTGGCTTGTTCCCCATGGCTTGCTCTGCCTGCTTTCTTACAGAACCCAGGGCCCCCAGCCCAGGGGTGACCCCACCCACAATGGGCCGAGTTCTCCCCCATTGATCACTAATTAAGAAAATGCCTGCAGGCTTGCCCAAAGCCCGATCTTATGCAGGCTTTTTCTCAACCGAGGTTTCCTCCTCTCAGATGACTATAGTTCATGTCAAGTTGGCACAAATCTAGCCAGCCCATAACTCCACACAGTGTTTTCTGTCACAGAGGTACAGCCCTGAAGCTGCCTTTTCACCTATCTGGCTCTCTCCATCTTCCTGCTTCTTGAGGAGAGGGAAAAATTGCCTTCTTCCCAGGTTGAGCATCATGGGAGACCAGTGGCGTGACGGGTACCCAAAGACAGGTAGAGATAAGACTTGTGCCCACTTGCTTAAATATTGAATGGGGAAGTAGTTATAAGCATGTATGTCGGGGTACACGTATGCACACACATACACACACACACACCACACACACACGCTACACACACACACACGCCACACACTTTAAATGAATGAAAACTCAGGGCCACCAGCTTTGGAGCCACCCTGCCCAGAACCCACAGAGACGCTTTCTGGGCTGGGGTATGCCCTGCCTCATCTCTTTTCCATCCCCACCTCGGTTCCTTCTGCCACAGTCAGGGGCTCACACCCCAGCCCTGCCTACTATGAAGTTCTTCTGACAGATGTGAGAAAAGGTCTCCAACAGAGCGACCAAGATCTCTCCCCCTTCTCCCGGAGTCCTCAAGGAACCTCACACCCTCGAAAGCACACAAGCCTGCTAGCATTGCCTCCCAGCCTTGCCTCACCCTGTGGAACCAGGAGACCAGACCTAGGAATCTGCTCCTAACAACTGTTCTAATAGGATTCTCCTGAAGTCCAAGCAAGAGTCACCACATCCTCCCCAGCCTCCTATCTTCTCGCTCGCTCATTCATTCATTCATTCATTCCTTCATTCATCCTGTCTGGCTTCCTCAGGCCGACTCCATCCCTTCTGATGACTGTGGGGCTCTCACATGCTGCAGAGAAGTCCTTCATCCCCCTCTCACAGGCATGGGGAACTGGCTGGCACACAGACCTAAGAGATACATAGACAGAAACACCAAAGGAATGAAACACTAATGGTGGGATTCCACGCTGGTCACAAAAGTCAGATTCTGGGAAAACCAGCATGTAGCCCTGACCCTGGCCACTCACTGCTGCCCGTCCCACTGAACCTATAATCCTAGCAAAGCCCCTCCCAGCTCTGATCATGTGAGTGTGTCTCCCATTCTGTGACCTGGACAGAGGAGGAGTCTGTAGCTCCATCACCATTGCTAGGCAACAGGGCAGGGCTTGGGAGCGAATCCTATGTTCTAAACACATTTGAAAGAAGAAAGAATGCCAAGCTTCCTGTGTCTGTGAAGCTCCCCTCCCCAATCCTCCCTTCCCCCACCACTCCCTGCAATTATGATCTGAATTCCAGTTTTTATCAAAACACCATGGAAACCATGTCCAGGCTGAGTCTGTGAAAGAACGACGCGGTGGATGGAGGGGGGGCGGGGAACCCAAGTCAGGGGAGCAGGCAAGGAGCGAACAGGAGCCAGACAGAGGCAGAGAGGGCAGAGGTGAGCTGTCCTGGGATGGAGGAGGCTGTTGGCACCTGCTGAGCAGAATAAAGAAGCCTCTTCAGCGCCAGCACATGTACACACACACACATGCACACTCAGACACACATAGAGATGCACACACAGACCATGCACACTCATACACACATAGAAACATACACACACCACACAGCAGCTGTACATATTGTGAAAATACATACTTCCATGGAAGCCTAACCATACCATATGCAGATGAGAATGCATACACATAAATGCACATACCATACATGCCAACATGGGTGTACACCTGATGTACACATTTGCACACAGGTATGCATACTTAACCTGTGCATGGCCTTCTGTCCACCTCATTCCTAAGGTCTGTGATACCTGCTGTTTCTGGTCTTGCTGGTCCACT